ATCTCATTACAAGACAATTAACAAGTAAAACAATAATGAGGTGGGGGGTTTATTACAAGAAATTACAGAAATAGCCGTCCTAATTTTTGAATTTTTGCATTGTCAGCTTTTTCCATTCTTCATTTTACACATTATAGATCAAGGTCAAAACAAGCAATCTGATTGGCTGTCCCTTCAAATCATAGTACAACCTTGGTGCTGTGCTTAAAGACAACATGCTAAGCATAAAATAAAAACCTGTTGTATATTGCTGGAGAGGTGGAGGTGTTCCCTGGATTCAGAGTCATTTGATTTCTAACAAGTAAAAATGATGTCTTCAGTAAAGACCTCAATTTGTCTTTAATCCTGGTCTCTTCATTTCTACAGGTGTGTTTTATTTTTAGTACAGATTTGCTGTTCAGAAAGAAGTATCAACGTGCTTTAAGTATCAAATGAAACCAGTAGCAAGCAGTTGAAGAGGTCAGGAGTTTGGAAGGGTCCCTCTTCAGTAATAGGGGTGCACAGGACAACTCTGGCCTCTCCACAGAGAGCACCATACACCTGACCTTCCCACAACATTCAGTGGGAGTTCAGGTTGTAAGGATTTATGAGAGAAGGTGAGAGGCTCTGGCGTAGGCTGTGCCCCCATGACCGACCCTCAGGGGCTCCAGCTCTCCCTTGTGTGTTGACAGCGTTACTGTGCAAGTGGACCCCTGAAAGATTGGGTGTGCTTTTCTCCCAATTGTTCTGACCCCTATAAACTGTGGCCTGGCTACCAATAGGCTTTTCCGGTTGGAATATGTCACCCTTAAATGGATCTCTCAGGTATTGGGGCCTCTCAACGTGTGCCTCCAGTGGGCTACCGGAGCCCCAGGCTGGGTTCATTAACTCCGCCTTGATTGTTCGAGCTTTGAAAACGTCCGGTAAAAGCAGGGATAATATGACTCTATGAAAAAGCATTAGGAGCCCCTGAAGACTAATTATAACACAGACAAGTGGGTTTATAAACTTTTACAAGTATACCATGTATGGAATCCACATTTCTCCAATTTGAATTGTGAGAAGTCTTAACGGTTGCTATTAACATGCATTTTATTATAACAAGGAGGTGTTTCTTTTCTTTGACCGGTACATTTAATTCATTGTTTTATTGTGACCAACTTTTTATTTATTTCTGTCAAAAATGGAAGTTGTTAATCATCAATAAATCTCTGTCATGTAACAATTAAAAACAAACTATGTCTATAAAAAACAGAAAAACAATAGCGACAAAGTATTGACCTGCAACACTTACCTTAACCCCTAAGCTTCCTCTTCTTTCTCTGAAATGCACAAAACAAGGAGGACAGCTCTTAAAAGTGTTTTTTAGGTCAAGAAATTAATTACACAAATAAATTCCTTAATAAATAGATCAAACACAAGAAATAATATTGTTAAAAAAATAGCATTGAGCGCTACCAGATCTACCCTAGCTACATGAGGCTCCCCAGATAAAATCTCCATTAATGAATGAATTCACTGTTGAATAAGTGTGCAGTGGATGTCACGCAGCAGCCAGCATCTTTTACCTCCAGACAAGAAGCTGTGTCAGCAGTCTTTGGTTGTGATTAAGATTCTACACAGAATCATCATTCAACAGCATGACTTCTGGAAAAAAAGTTGATCTTTAAACTGAATGTTTCAGATGGAGGATCTGCAGTGAGCACCCAGAAACGTCTAGCTTCCACATGATATGTAGAAATGTCCCCACTTGGATTAAATCACGAAGGGAAGAGTTTAGAGATTGTTTAGTTGTCTAATTCATTTTGACATCTGATGGCCATGATCTAAAAGCGCCATCCAAATAAGCAGTGAGTATTTTATCCTTCTTTTCTCTAGTCCTTGACTGAAACAGCTTTTATATGCAAGGAAAGGAGTCAGCTGTCCCGTCCATGTAAACATGATGTAAACACAGCTCCAACAACAACACAGCCAACGGGAGTGCACTTTGCCCTCAGAAGTCAGAGAGACATTTACAGAGGATATACTTGATTTCTGCTGTATCTATGTGTAACATCTTGCACATTCTTCCTTCCTAAATTAATTACAACCATGCTTTTGAAATGTTTGAAGCAGTTTGTGTTTTCGTGGCTTTCTATCTGTTTACCACCGTAAGATCCAAGACGACAAGGTCACCGTACTTGTACAGGGAGTACTTCTGTTTAATGCTGTGTCAGGTCCGTCCGTTCTCCTTTCTGTGGAAACTGGCCTCGCTGTGATTGATGAAGGCCCTAATGTGCGGGGCCCTCCCAGGTGAGCTGGCCCTCAGAAGTGTAGCTCTTTAAGGCGCTGTGCGATAACATTGCAGCTGTCCTCCTTGCCACCGTCCTGCTAGGAGCCTCATTCATCATAAGTGTGGGATACTGCTCACCTCACAGCAGCATATGATTCCACCCTCTAGCCGAGGAGTTTTACAGAGGAAACATGGGAATGGCACTCCCAACATGACTCAGCTTTCAAAAGAGCATTCATGGTTAAGTATTCTCTGCCCTTTTTGGTACTTTGAATTAAGAGGCTCAGAATATCTTAACAATGTGGAACCATTCTGCTCCTCTGACATGATGTCAAGTTCCACATTGAGCACATTAAGCTAAGACTTCTGCTACAGTAGAGTGTTCCCCCGGTTAACTGAGCTAAGATAAGCTAAGGTGGGACGAGGTTCAGCCTCCCGGCAGCCCTCCCACTCCTCATTCCCCTAGAATCTTTGTGAGAGAAAGAGGTCTGCCTTCCAGGTCCTGATGGGCTCACTGGCAGATGCGACCGAAACCCTCACTGAGCACCTCTGTTCCCAGTTGCTCATGGAGAGGCAGAACGTTGTTGATATGTCTTTACTAGTTTAACCAAAGGAATGCCCAGGCAGCAATAATCGAGTGAATGGACCTATTCTACAAGTAGGTCAACCACTTCTGCAGGTCAAAGAAAAGCCACAAGTAACAGCACATACAGCATTATGGGTTACATTATTAGCTGCAATATGATCCTACCAAAAAATGCTGTATGTTTACACACATTAAAATCACATTTCTTACAAGTTACTGCATATGACTATGTGCACTATCTTCATTTTGTTTACCCCAATATTAAAAAGCACACGTAAATACATGCCAAAATTAAGTTTTATTTGATTTTGCATTAGTATGTACTTCTAAGCACTTCAAGGGGCGCTGTTTTATCTCCCTTGGTAGAGCAGGCGCCCCATGTACAGCAGCTACAGGTCTCAGGTTCAACTCCAATCCTGACACTATTTGGTGCATGTCATCCCCTCCTCTCTCTCCCAATATGTCCTGTCACTCTGCAGCTTAAAGGCCTTTGCACACTGAGTCGTTTTTATCGTATCTATTGAAGATGATTGTAAGTTTAATTATTGGTTACATCGTTTGTTAATCGTCTTGGCATTTCATCTGTCTTTAAGTTTCAGTCTGTATGTTGTTGCCCATGACCCACTTACGAAGGGGGGGGGGGGGGTCAGTCACAGTGCTTACCGTCATGACCGCAGGCTCAGAGATTAATGTTAATGAAGTGCATTAGCTCCATTCAAATTTAAAACATGGACATTAAGTGTATGCAGTTTGATTTGATTTTTTTATTATGTTACACAATACATGAATTTCAAGTTGAATATTTCTTTATTGACACACTCTTCATTATAATACATCTTTTTATGGTGAACAATAAAAGGGTGTTGGTTTTTGAAACATGTGTTGATCTTGATGCCATAGCCCTTTGTAAGCATGCATGTTTCATATTCCTCCCCTTTAATTAGGCCAGACTGGAAAAACTGACCACACTTCTTGTTGTTGTTTCAGTGCAGGCCTGTGGAAAGGTGTGTGGTGGGCCTGAGAATTAATACATGCATGGCATCTCCTCTCAGTACCTGTGAGATTTATAACCAAGTGTGCTGGACGCATCACAGTGGTCAGACTTTTAAGAGGCATGTAAAACCAGGCTTAATGTCCAACATCTGACAGTTGGTTACCGAGCCAGTTACCACCAATGAACAAACACTCTACTTCTCTTTACCTATTTGAAAAACCAACCAAAGTATGCTGTGGTGGCTACCCTGCTTGGGTTTTGAATAAAGCAGTTCATGTTTAACCATCATTTACATTTGACCAGAACTATGCCTAAATTTGTGCTGCATGTATTAACAGAAGGGAGCGTGTCTCAACAAGTGGGTGGTTGTACGACAAACATGCTGCATCGTTTAAATGTACTCACCAGGTCCAGCACATTCATATGCCAGGCTTTTTATTAAAGTCATTTTAGAACAAAATTAACTCGATATATTTCTGTATGTGTTTACCAGGCCGGTTTATATCAGGAAATGCTAATGGAATTAAAACACTTTGTTTTTTTAAGTGCTGTCATTTTGTACCATGAGTCGATATTTACAACAAAGACTCTGGAAAAATTTCCATTTTATGTGCACTAGGATGTCCAGGCCAAATAAATAGAGGTTTAATATTAAAAACCAGGTTTCTTTAAAACCAAAAAAAGTGTTTTACAAAAGCAAATCATATGAGTAACAGGGCTGTTTGAAGAGATCAACATAACATGGCTCTACAGATAATAATGCTTACAGGACCAGATTTAAACCCAACTAACAGAGCTAACAGATTAAACCAGATGACCAAACCAAAAGGTGCACACAAAAGAGGACTGATCAACCTCCCCATGCTGTCAGAGCTCTTAGGGTCCTTTTCCATAAAGCCAGGCTCCTCCCACTGTCTCACCTTTTGTTCAAACCAGGAAGGAGGGAGACACAGCAGCCAGGTAACTCAAAGGACAAGAGACATTTCACCAACACACAATAACGACAATCAATCAGTGTCCTGAGCCAAAAACAATGTATCATCCAAAGTGTTATATGCTAAGCCAAAAAACAGGACTCTGTTTAATCCGATGTTAAATGACAAGGTGCAAATGAAACTATAACTGTGGAAGCCTACAACCTCCTGTTTTTTCTCTGACACTTTCTCCAGGTTGGAAATTCAGGAGTAAAGCCTTGAGAGACTCTTCCAACTTTGATCCAACTTTAGGTGAGTACGTTCTAAATGTTTCTCAGCCACTACAAACGGTTTGATGTGGGAAATTATAACACACTTCATATCAGCTTTTATTTCATTTGGGTGTTCTGTTGCTTACACTGTCCTGTGGCAGATGCTGCTTAATCGATATTGCTGCATCCATCGTTCTGTCAGATCCATGACTACAAAAAAGTTGACAAGCATCTTTACTTACACTCTAAATGCTGTGCCTGGACCTTTATCTGTTGTGAGTGTGGGTGTGAGTTTGTGTACTTTCAGTAGTTTTTTTGCTAATCAAGCTAGATATTTGGGGAGATGTTTGTAGCTCAGTAAGTGGAGACTTGGGTTGGGTACCAGAGGGTTCAAGTCCCAGTCTAGACCATATGTGGAAAATGGGACTGGTTGCTGGAGAGGGTCTTCTTTATCCCCTAATTACTGGTGAAATGAGCATCATCAATGCATGTTACGATTTGCAATCATATCATTGATTATCACTATCAAAAACCTCAAAGGACAACCGCTCTATTCATATTTTTAGTGTGTTAACTCTGCAAAACTGTGCAGCGACACACATACTGAGGGCAGGCGGTTTGTATTGAAACCGTTCTGAATATTGTTTCTGATCTTAAATAGAAACCAGTGAGTTCATAGATCTTATGACATGTTGATTCGATGTCATATGGTCATCATTATAATCCATGAAAATATGAAGAGACATGTGTATTGAATTTCTTTAAATAGAGACGGAGAAGAACAGCGTTTGGCAGCTTTTTAAGACCAAGTACAAATGTTTATTTTAAAAGTGATGTTTGAATATTGTTTTATTTCCATATACTTGCAGACTTGGCTCAGCAGGTCAGCCCGTCTCTTAGACTTGGGCCTGGATTCAATTCATGTCTTTACGGGGACAATGTGAGCAAAAAGGAAAGCTGTGATAAGAGAATCTGAGTCACTGTATCCAAGTAAAATAAGCCAAAGACTGGCATACTTTATTTTTGAACATGGTCATGAAATATCAGGTCTGCGAAGTGGAAAAATACCACAGGTCAAATCAAATCCAGAGTGTCGACGCTTTAGCTTTGCTCTGACTTTTTTGGGGCAATTTGAGTTTACTTCATTATGTTTAAGCAAGATTGTGTTTCATGAGCAATAAAGCACTATTCAGGTTACTCCAACAACATCTGACAGTAAATTCTTGAAAATCTTCTAAATCAGAAGTTGTCAGCTCGACTAAAATTATGTTTAAAAAAGAAGAATTTACAGCTTGACCAAGGATGAGCTTCCTCTAGAAATCATGGCTCATAATTACTTTCATATGAGAATCAAAAGAATCCAAATGATAATTAACAAATACGTTTCATTTCCACTTAATCAAAATTAAAAGAAGTTTAGCTTTGGTCTTTTATCAGATCTTTTTCTATATTTTAGAACGATGAAAGGAATGTAACAAAATGTAGTTTTATTCTTTATCTGCAAGTCTAACGATCAAGATATGTTTATATCATATCAGTAAACCCTATCTAGCCATCATGCAACTTTTTAACCTGACAATTAAATTGCAAATTTAAACTGGAACAAATATCAACCCAGTAAGTCTGTTTATAAATCAAAATATTTCAACTTTGCAGTGAAGCTGGCAGCGCCCTAACTGGTGAAATCAATCATTCAATCAGCCCTGTTAAAGCCAGTGAGTGTGACTCAGGTGAGTTATAGAAGTAGTCTTGTGTCTGGACGCTATGGGAGGCACAATTTTCTATTCCTCCTTAAGTAAATACTACATATGCAGCGGGTATTAGGCTCCATCACAATCCCTAGTTATTTGGCAGGCTGTTGCTAATGGAAGCGTGGTCTTGAGTGGACGTCACGAGCACATGGCTGAACAAAGAGACCCTTTCTGTGGGTCTGAAGGTGCTGAAAGGCAGGGTGAGGGTGGCAGGTCCTTATGGAGGACCACTATCATGCTGGGCGTCCTACACCAAAGCTCATAGACAAAAGTGAGGTATGTAAACCTCCCGTCTGAGACCTCTGCTGTGGGCTGTGATCAGCATTTTGGGATGATGAGGTGAAGCACCCACTCAACTAATGCAACGATGGATTTCTGTTGCTCTGCATGCCAGACACTGATGTCATCTCTTTAAAGGACAACAGTCCTTGATAATAATTTGCAGTGATTACAAGCATCCAACATCTCATTAGGCATTTACCGTCAAACAAAGGAAGTGGTGTGTGCCTATAGCAGGCCAAAGAAAGGCTGCATTCTGCCCAGTTTCCTTCACTGAATGATTGGATATGAAAGTCGACATGGCAGAGCTTCATACCTCATAGATTCTCTGTGTCACAATGTTTTTGCATCATATTAAATCATAACTGGGACCATATGTGCCCACATAATGCCCTCTAGAATAGGAAGAGACAGTTAGCAGGGAGTATAAATCATAGGCCCTCAAAACACTTACGCTGGGTTTCTCCTGTAGAAGAATTCAGGAAAAAAAAATTAAGTTGACTGAAAAACTGAAATACCAACTCCTATTAAACAGCTGAGTTTGTAAAACACAATTGCATTGTTTTTGTAAAACATCGATTCACAAATGCCATGCAAAGAATGTGAGATTCTCTTCTGACTTTTAACCCTGTCATGACCTCACCATAATCTGATGAACCCAGGAAACTGGAGCAAACATGCACATACAGCATACATGCTCCATTCTTCATAGCAGCTTGTATGTGTGTCGGAGCAATGGGTGGTCATACAGTACGGCACATTTCTGCAGCTGTGAACAGGGAGGGCTGAGCGTGCTAACCAAAAGGAAAGCCTCAGGGCCACGCGACAGGACCAGTGGAGCCACTCCAGTGATCCCCCCAGCCACCGCATACAGTCCTCCTTTTACCTCCTTGAATGTACACAAAGGAGAACTTATCCGAGTCCCCCCCCGCCCTCTCGGTTCACCCCTCCATCCCTTCCCCCCCCGCCTGCCCTTCATAATAAGACAGAAGTCAGGTCCTACCGCTGCATAATCAAAACCTGCCTCCATTGCCAAACAATCACAGCGGGCCGTGAAGGAAGAGATAATCCTAAATCAATCCAATAGAGGATGAGTGACCTGATATTGCTGCGCTGCAAGAGAGACGGGGACAAAGAAGGCGATGTTCTTTTACCTCTCATTTAGCGGGAGCGCTGCAGAGCTCCACTTTGATCTGTTATATTAAAAAAAGTTGAGCTCTATTCAAGCAGATGTTTCACATTATTCATTGCTATTCTAAATGATTTATTCATGATAATTGAATAATAACATCCAGAGGTGGACAATATACAAATATATTTTAACTCGCTTAAGTACATTTTTATGTCTTTAACTGTATCCTATACTTCTTTCTTTTAATACAAATACCTGTTCTTTCTTATTACATTTGGAAAACAGGCTTGGTATTTTGGCTTTAATTTATTTGACAACATGAAGACTGTTTTCATCCTTAATAGATCAATGGAGAAGAACGCATAGAAAGTTTGTACAGAAACAGCAGTGGACATGTTCTTCAGTGGGCAATTTTACTTTGAGAAAACGTTTTGGGCCTTTTTGCCTTGATTGGATAGGACATTTGACGAGGGGAAAGCACATGTTGGAAGGAGAGAGTGGGGGATGACATGCAGAAAAATGGCTGATGTTGGTTTCGAACCCACAGCCACTGCAACGAGGACTACAGCCTCTGTACGTGGGATGCGCGACATAACCGCTACCAGCACCCCTGAGAAAACTTTTGAGCCTTCACTTTTTCCATTTTAATTCAGTCATACATTTTTTCAATCCTTTTGTTTTAAATCTGGGACTTTTTTGGCACAGTAATGTGGGGTTTAGAATATCAGTACTTTTGCTTCCCCTGCAATTCACTTTCAGAGAACCTTTTATCAGAGCCTGTCGATTATTAGTTGATAGTTCTCACAGGAAAAAAAAAAACAAACGAGCCAACAGCCAGGCTGCTTACATGCAGCTCTGACCTCTGTATACCTCCTTCTTTCTCAGACTTGCAGTCACAGCCTAAATCTGAAACCCATCACTCTCATCGTATCCGAGCTCCAGCAGCCGTGTGTGCTGGATCTGTCACCAGCAGAGAATACTGTAAAATGTTACGTTTCCTCTGCAGTGCCTTTACAACACAGCCACCCGGAGGCCACACACAGCTCCCAGAGATCCAGAGATGAGAGTAAATAAACCAGGGGAGCCATCCCTGACACCATGTGTGGCTGCGTACAGTGCAGCAGACTGGTGGGAAAACAAAGCTGGGTCAAGCATGATTAACGCCTCACCTTTTCTCAGGATGCTCTGTTATGGTTTTGTGCAGTGGACCCCAAAGCTTGATATAATGATTTCCCAGTGAAGTCATTGTTTTTCTTGACTGAAATAATATTGTAGATTTAAATATTTATGATATTTATGAAAAACAGACCCAAAAAACATTATAAAAAAATCATTTATTCAGTTGGTCCATTATAGGTAAAGGTGGTCGTTATAGGTGTTCCATGGTGATGCATGGTTGCAGTGCTAATGATGACATCGTGGTGTATGGATTGAAAACTAAGAAGTTTTGTGTACAGTCAATGCAATTAAATTCCTGTTGCCCTCTCTACACTATAATATAAAGAAGTTAAATGAATAAATACAAACATCAATGGTGTAAAGTATGCTCATGTATTCCCGGACAGGTTGTTCTAGTTTCAAACCAAAAAAACACTTATGATTTTAGAGAGTTGCATCTTTTCAAGTGTATATATTTGTTTAGAACAATCTTTGGAGAAGCAGAGTGGGGACAACAATCTTTCAAATTGTTACTTTAATTTCCCCTGACACAGCTTGCAGATTTTGATTTGATTTTGTTCATTTACGTTTCCTTTAAAAGCAGGAAAGAGAGAGAGACATTTTCACTAGCCAGTTGTGAAAAGTTTTTTTTTTTTTCTCTGGACATTGCTGAACGGATCATATCATTAATTATACCTACCATCCATTTTTGGTACTTTT